TAAATAAATAAATAAATAAATAAATAAATAAATAAATAAATAAATAAGTTATAGTCTCAGAGAGACTAAATGACTTTTCTAGGGTCATACAGGCAGTATATGTTAGAGGAAAGACTTGACCCATGTCTTCTTGGATAGCTCTCTATCTAGTGCTGGCTCTGTCAACAATAATAAATACTGCCATTTTGTGGTCCTTTTAAGATTTGTCAAGTGCTTTATGTGCATTATTTCATTTGAGTCTTAGAACTATTCTATGAAGGGGCAGCTGGTGGCACAGTGGATAGAGCACCAGCCCTGAAGTCAGGAGGGACCTGAGTTCAAATCCAGCCTCAGACCAAACACTGGTCACTAACTAACTAGCTGTGTGACCCTGGGCAAGTCTAAAAAAAAAAAAGAACTATTCTGTGAAGTATGTCTTATTTTCCAGATGAGGAAAATTAGACTTGGAGAAGTTAAGTACCTTGTTTCTGGTCATTCATCTAATAAATTTTGGAGGTAGGATTTGCTTTGTCACTAATTAACTGTGTAAACTGGGTAAATCACTTAAAGTCCTTGGACCTCAGTTTCTTCATCTTAAAAATGAAAGGTTTGGACCGAATGATCACTGAAATCTTTTCCATTTTAAAATTTCTGTTCCTTCACCTGAAAGCCTTCTCTGATGGTTTCTAACAGAAATTGCTTACTTACATTTAATTTTAAAGGCAGTCTCAAAGACACTCATGTTCAGTGACCAGGAAGGCTGTGTTTGGTCACAAATCATTGGAAATATTAGAGAATTTTTGACCTTTTACCTATTCCAGGTTATTGTTGTTTGACAAATGGGACAGGTAACAACTTTCCTTCCATAAATTAACCCATTATCTTGCCCCATTCTTCTAATAATGTTCCCATTCCTATTAATGGCACCATTACCAAACATCTAGGATGGAAGGCTGTGAATCACTCTTGAATTTTTACTTCTTACCATAGTCTCTCAATATTCAATCACTGCCAAATTCTGTCAATTTCATCTCATTATGTCTCATATTGATCCCTTTCTTCCCACTTTTATAGCTTCCCACAGTGCTATCTCAGGTCCATATAACATCCTCCCTGGATTATTATAACAAAATATTTTTTGAAAAACAGATGTCTTATTAGAAATAACTTTAAACATCAACATAAAGAATAATAATTGCTGAAAATTATTTCCATTTGAATTAAGTTTGAGATATATTCATATTTTTTTCAGTTCCTTCTCTTATGTCAACATCATCACTCTTGGTTCATTCATTATTCATTTTCTATAATATCCTCTTGACTAATCCTCTGTCTCTAGTATCTTCCTTCTACAAATCAAATTTCACACAAAAATAAATAAAGAAAATTATTTCTAAAACACAAGTATGATCAAATTAACTGATTTTAAAAAAGTCCTTATTAAAAAATCTTAATAGGCTCCAAATTTTCATCAGGATAAAATAATAGCTCATTAGCAAGGCATTCAACATGTTCCATAACATAGCTCCAGGTTACATTTCCAAACTTTTTTCATAGCAACAACATTCATTTTTTTAATGAAACATCCAAACTGGTCTACTTACAATTCAGTCTTTTCCTATACATGCAGCCCCAGGTGGCTCTGTGAATACCATCCCTATGCCATATCACCCCTTAACAAACCTTCTAGGGTACCCTGTCCTTCATAAAGTTTTCCTTGATCTTCCAGATTGAATAAATCTTGCCCTTCCTAAAACCCTTAGGCCACTCTGACTCTTCCTCGACTCTTAACAAACAAAGCAGCCCACTGGCCTAATGTCACTACCCCCACATTCTCCCTGACAAAGCAGGGCTGTCCCTAAATCCTCTCCTCATCATTAAATGCCTATGCCAATCAGTGTGCAACTATTCACATTCCAGACTGATATTTCATTGTTTCCTGTGATCCTGCTATACATGGTACCTTGGTTTCCTTCTGCATAGAACAGGAATCTTGAAAGTCAGTGCATTCTTGCTGGCCAATATGCTCTTACATCTAGCCTCTCTGTTTTCACTAGCTTGGTTTTGTCTAACAGATCAATACCATGTAGTTCAAACATAGGTTGTGCAGACTTTCTCCTGACATCCTCCATTAAAAGGGGAAATGAGCTCTGAAGGCCAGTAAGTCAGGAATATTTCCTAGACCTAAGCAGACTAGTGAGCATGTGTCTCAGTCTTAAAAAATAATTGCCAGTCTATGAGCCATATTCTCCAGCAATGATTCCATATGTTTGCTCTCTATTTCTATTATAAAAGAATGTAGATCCTGTGAGAAAAGCAGATCCTATGAGAAGGAATGAAAAGTGTTATATTTTAACCTGAAATTAATTTAAATGCAAATAGTGCTTTTTATCATACCTGTGCTAGTACTGATGTTTTCTGTTCCCACAGTTTGCCCCATCAGATGATACTGGTTTAAGCGGGATCCATCTTCTGCTACCACCACAGATTTCGCAGTACCATTGGTCCAGATGTAAATCACTTCAGAATTAGGGTATGCATCTGCAAAAAAAATAGTCAAAAAGTGATAGTTTAGAAGATAGTTTAATTTCCTGTGGAGCAGAATCTAGGATATTTTAGCAACAAATAAGAATAATTATATGAGTCATCAGGTCTAATTCTGAAGTTATTAGGTCAAAGCTCTGTGATTTAATAAATGTGTAGAGTGGTCAGAATGGACCAGATGCCGATCTATAATCCTTTAGTATCCTTACAATTTAGATAGATTAGAGTACTCAGAAACCAGTGCTTTGTGATGACCTTATAAAGATATTATCATGATGTTTATTCATTTATATATCCATCTATCTATCTATCTATCTATCTATCTATCTATCTATCTTGATACAATTAAGTCTATTTATGAAAACATTTAATTTAGAGGTTTAGAATCTTCTATTCTAATTCCAGATTCTATGTGTCACTTTAGGGTAATCATTTGGCTCCCTCATTATTCACAAAATCATGAAATCAGACAATGTTAGATTTGAAAATAACCTTAGTGGTCATCTAATTTAACCTTTGCCCCTTTTTACAGATGAGAAAACTGAAGCATAAAGGATAGCAGTCCATGATCATATAGCTAGTGTTAGTGGCAAAGTTAAGATTTTAATCTAAGCCTTCTGACTTAAAGTTTAGGGCTCTTTATACTTCATTTGTGGATAGAAATAAGAATGTACCACATAAGCTAGATTCTGAATCAACATAAGGACAGCGATGAAAAAACCTTCAATAACTCTAGAAGAAAGCCATTCTACTGTTTATAACTGAATGGGACCAAATGCTATCCTGATATCTGACATTCCAAAGGAATGTTTTAGGATCTGTCCCTTTTATGAGATATAGGCTGGTAACATCTTACACAATGTAATGGTTAACAGTTGTACAAGCTGACATTGCAATTTCTCCTGAAGTTATATGGATAAAAGGTGGCAAGCCTTATTCTCTGATAGAGAGACTGGAGAAAGTCTCTTTGTGCAAAATAACTGCATTTGCAAAATGGCCCAGTTACTCAAGATAGGCAGGAAACATATAAATGAGGTTATAGGGCATGAAAATGTAGAAATTCAGTTGTTATGTACGTGTCTCTACATTAAACCTTTCTGTGTGTCAGGGATTTAAGAGCAGTAATGTGAGACTGCTGTACTCCCACTAAACCATTTTGTTCTTGGGCAGGACAAATTATAACCTAAGACCGTATGCATTTACATATTCCAAAACATAACTGGTACTTCAGACCTAGAGGTGAATAGGGGGATGTACTCAAGGGGGTGGTGTGATAAAGAGGTGCTATAGAAGCTCTGAGGAACATGCCTGGTTAATGAGCTAAAGAAATCTGACAACTTTAGAGCTCCACTCAAAGGCACAAACTGTGACTTTGCTCCTGAGGAGAATGGAAAGTACACAGTGCCACATGCATTTAAAAAAATTATGGTGATGATGCGAATTATCTTTGTTAAGAGGTTCTGTGAAACCCAGGAGACTTTTGTCAGTTCCAATTGAATTCTCTTATGAAGTAGTGGTGGTCTAATGTTATTTTGGTAGGGTAGAGGTCACGCCTTTGAATGTTGCGTTTGCCAACACATTATAAAGGTTGAATAACTTTACAGAGATGATTGTTAAAATGGTCTCCAGTAAATTGTTCTTCCCCTAAAGGCCTTTTTTTTGTAAAGCAAACAGAAAAAATACAAAAGCACAAAAGGACTTTTACAAGCTTGTTTGCCAGGTTGCCAGGGTTCATTTTTAGAGATGATTAATAGTGTTCTAGGAAGGTTATACCATTATCAACAATACATCTAGGTCAGTACTAGAGAATTTTTCTAGGATTTTTGTTTTTAGATATTCTATCCAAATGGCATTAGGGTTGATTGGCCCAGTTGAATTATGATGTTAATGAGGAAAATATAGATTGAACCAAGAGTTAACATAGTTAACATCACTATGAAAATTTATGTTCCCTGACTACATACTATACCCTGATTCTTAGCTAGCCATCTTAGATTACATGCCAGAGTCACAAAGAAGCCCAGGTTATAGTGTGAACATTACTGGGAAAATGATATCAAATTCATGGACTGCTTAAAATGAAAGGAAGTCAATAAACTGTTTTCCAACATGTTAAGTTGAATCTGCATCCATTGGGATGTGAGTTCCATGAGGGGAAGAACTCTTCTCCCTCTCTTTATTTTATATTCAGTGATCACTACAGTGCATGGCCCATAATAAGTACTTAATAAATACATAATATAACTAGCATTTAAATAGCACTATAGGGTTTGTAATGCATTTCACAAATACTTTTATCCTCACAACAACCTTGGGAGAGATGTCCTAATAAGTGACTGAGGCCAGATTCAAATTCAAGTTTTCCTAACTCAAAATCCAACACATAATCCATTGTGCCACCTAGAAGCCTGTTGGAATCAACAATTGATACTATATGTCTTCCAGTCATGGAAGATAACAATTGTACAAACATAAACACTAAAAGTAATTCCAATGGAATGATACACACTAGGTATAACTATTCTGCATCACATTCCCAGTGGTGACTTGCACATGCCAAGTTCCTGAGGATATGCTAGGTGGTCTATTTGATAGAGACCCAGAACTGGACTCAGAAAGACTTGAGTTCAAATCCTACCTCAGATACTAGCTGTGCGACCCTGCAGAAGTCACTTAACATTTATTTGCCTCAATTTCCTCATCTGTAAAATGGGAATAATATTAGCATATACCAAACAGGGTTGTTGTGCAGATCAGAGATAATACATAGAAAGCTCTTTGAAAACTTTGAGTAATATGTTTTAGGCATCATAATCATCATCATCATCATCATCATCATCATTATACATGACTAGAAAAGGGGGGTGTCAGTCATCCAGCAAGACTGAAAGACAATAGGTGGGTAACCTAATTACTAAAATAATGCTATGTAGATAATAATATATCCTGATGAAGATCTTGCCTTGGAAAGAGGACAATACTCATACAGTATAAGAAGTCATGGAGGGATTGTTTTCTGCAGAGGTTGAGAGAGTACACACAGATGAAACTACAGAGCCATCCAAGTATTACAATATTAAGGAGAAGGCATTTTTAACTTGATTGGTAAGGCCCTCATCCATCAATGACAAGTCTATTTTGGAGCCTATGAATATCCCTCTCTGAAAAATTGATTAGAATGATGTTTAATTATGGCTAAATTAATTCAACATATACATCCATGTCACCATGCTCTTGAGGACTTCATTTTATTTTTGCCAAATGCAGGGGAAAAAGTACTTGAAAACAAATATCTTAACTATTGTTGCATATCTGAAGAGGGTAGGTTCTCATTACAGAGAATAATAGTGTCATAAATGCCTCAGTACAATACACTGGCATTAGTTGATTATTAAAATTGAAGTTGCTGCAAGGTTTTTTTTTCTATTTTATTAAGATATGATGCCTCCACCCCAGCCTACTGGCCACTTCCATCCAGATCCTCCTTAGACCCCTCTTCCAGTCATCCCAGACTACTTGACCACGCCTAGATTACTCCCAGAGTCTTTCTGTATATAAGATTCATTTTGTCTCCATTAAGGTGCTCAGATTCTTAAGATCTGGCCCACTTGCAATTGTGATGCAAATGATTAGATTCCTTAAGAGTCTGGACATTATGGAAGATTCTTTAAATCTCACCCACCCCCAATCGATGTTCTAATAAACCTTGTCTTTGACTGACAAAAAAAAAGATATGATGTCTCAACATCTCAGGTTTCTGACAAATATGTTTCACTGTTAAGCGAAGTTGGTGCTCTCTTGATCTAAGAACATCATACGTTGTTTTCCCTTTATTTTTTAATTGAATCCATGATTTCATTGGTATACAGAAGCATCTACCTATGCTGATTGATACCACCTCTGTAACTTATATTCTTTTAATGTTGCCTACGGCATTGACAAGTCAAATTACTTTTTCCAGGTCACATAGCCAGCATGAGTCAGAGGCATAATTTGAAACCTGGTGTTCTTGATTCTGAGGCCAACTCCCTATCTTCTACGTCAGCCTGCCTCTAAGAGGCTCTGAAAACCAGGACCCTCAGTAGGAATTATTAGTCCTTAAAAAGTACACTGTGCTAGGTGGCACAGTGGATAGAGTACCAGCCCCGGAATCAGGAGGACCTGAGTTCAAATCCAACCTTAGATACGTAACATTCACTAGCTGTGTGACTCTGGGCAAGTCACTTAACCTGAGTTCAAATCCAACCTTAGATACGTAACATTCACTAGCTGTGTGACTCTGGGCAAGTCACTTAACCCCAATTGCTTTACCTCCAAAAAAAGAGGTACAAAGCTTTCTTTCTTTGCATTGGATCCTGCTAGATTTTCTGAATCCTGGTTTCACAATCATCACTGAAATTTCTTTGTGAAATGTCACAAGGGATGGCTCTCCAAGTCAGACATAAATGACTCTGGATACTTCTGAACAAGATTTGTGTCCTCTCCACTTTATGTAAATTTTACAGCACTCTGAATAATGTAAGGCAATGATGTAGAGATATGGATAGTTTCCTGTCCAAAATAAATGTACCAAATTCTGTTCAAAGATATTAATAAGAGCTGGGACTGCAGGTGATAATGAAGCCATGCTGCTTCTATACGGCTAAAGATGAGCTCCTTCAGCTCTCAGGTTTTTTCTTAACCTGCTGAATGACCCATGTGGTCACGCTTCTGTGACCCTGTCCACCTGCTGTCCTATGTTGTTTCTCTTCTCAGCTCATCTGCTCAATAACATTGACACTCAATGAAACCTATTTTAGAACTCCCCCTGTGAAACAGGCCAATCCTAAATAGCAGTCATTTGTATTCACAGAATGCCTTTCAGCCAGAGACAGACTTCCCTACAAATAGGGAAAGCATTAAAGCATTAGGTGCTGCAAAATTCTTCCACCATTCCTGTAGAAATCAGACAGGGAATCAATCTAACCTGTTGTCAAAAATCTGACTGAACATGTGGC